AAAGACCATTCTTGTCAAACCAACCTAGCGACATTCTACGAGGAGGTGAGTGGCAACCTAGATGGAGGAAAGCCAGTGGACGTGTACCTTGATTTTGCAAAAGCATTTGATATAGTACCACATAAACGCTTATAAGCTACAATCTTTAGGCATTGATGAAATGGTGTCTACAGGAACGTGTCCAGAGAGTCTCCAATAAATGGCTCGTTTTCTAAGTGGTCATTGGTTGGCAGTGGCGTGCCCCAGGGTTCTGTCTTTGGGCCATTTGATGTTCAACCTGTTTATTAATTATTTTGGGGTGGGTATTAATAGCCATTTTTCAGTGTTTGCTGATGACACCAAAATTTGTAGTGTGATAAACTTGACTAAAGGCATGGCAATATCACAGGAAGTCATTGTTAAAAAAGGGGAGCGGGCAACCACATGAGGTTTAATATTCAAAAATGTAAAGTTATGCATTTTAGTGTTAAAGATATGCACGCAAGCTACTCAATAATGGGAGCACCACTATGGGAATAGGTGGGGAAAAAAGATTTGGGGGTCCTAGTAGACAGCAGGCTTAGAAACAGCATGCAATGCCAGACAGTAGAGTACTTTCCTGCATAAAAAAGTATGCAGTTCAATTTTGGTTACCGATCCACAGAAAGGATGGCTTTGAGCTGGAGAGAGTCCAGAAAAGGGTAACAAAGCTAATAAAAGGGGTTAGAGGGGTAAATCTATGAGGAAAGACTGCATGCATTAAACTTGAGGACACTAAGAGGCAACATGATAGTAATGTACAAATTGTTTCAAGAAGAACTCTGGGCAAAACTTTTCTTAACCCTTGCGGTGGGACTACCCCCCGCACTGAAAGGGTTAAGTGCTTGTTTTCATCTAGGTGCTAAAATAAAAAAGTTATACTCGCCCAATCCTCAGAACTGGCTGACTGTTAGACCGGTACTTCCCCTCTGCGCTAGCCATCTAAGGATCCTTTAGTCCTCACGTCTAATACAGTGTATAGGATGTGAGGAACCCGAGGGACATACCATCGCTGCAGCGGAGGGAGAAACAGGCTGTAATAGAAATTTGTGTGCAAGATTCTTTCATACCAATATTTATCTATACCTTTCTTTTAAATGATATAGCAAGTCATGACTCAAATACTTGATAACATTGTGCCTATAAATTTCTACTTTCCAGGTTGACAGTACAAACAGATGCACCGTCGTCATGGTACTGGAATTTGGCTCTTTCTGTATGGTTTCGACTCACAAATATAGGAAATACAGTGAAATCATTTGTATATTCCATAATGTATCCCTTCATATCTTTATATTTGTGGACCTATAACAGTGTAAAAAAGGTATGTACAGTATATATTTTTCTATACAATGTTACCATCTTGTAACTTTTTATTAGCATGAGATTTTTATTAAATGTATGGCCTAAAGTGAATCTGTTACTCACCTTTCAAGTCTACATGAAAGAAAATCTCACAATATACATATGGTAGTGTAAAGATTTTGATAAAAACACATTTTTATTATTAACAAGCAGTCACTGAGCTGTCATGTAACTGCATAGGCCTGAGAGGTGTAGTCTAGGAGATTGATGTAGTCAGTCAGTTGCAGGCAGTATGAATCCCTTCCTCCCTTCCTCTTAACGCCAGCCAGATTCCCTCTCAGCTCCTGGTAACCAGTGACATCGGTGAGCTGGGCAGGCCGCCGGCCAGAGCGTTACAGGTTGCTAAGAGCTCTTGCCAACCTGGGATGCTCTAGCTTGAACGTTTGTTTGTCGCCCCCCCATGACCCAATGAGATGCCACCTGAGGCACCTGCCTCAGACTGCCTCATTATGGGAACGGCCCTGGACATGAACAGCCACACCATGCATCAAAAAAGAGGAGCAGCCTGCAAGGAGAAGAACCCATGATTCAGGTAATTAGTGGGGAGGGGTGAGATGGGGGTTGCGATGTGACCTTGTTTCATGCTGGACCTTGAATATGGGTGTAACATAAAACTCGGTCTCGAAGATAAACATAGCCTTTAAGTCCTTCTACATTAGTAAAAACACGTTGTAACTGTAACAAAAAAAAAGAAAAGCGACCTATAAATGTTTGGTAAAGAAGAAAGAATATTCACATTTCCTAAAAGATGTCAACACACATTGTGATTTCTGGATTCTTTAGTAGCTGCCTGCACTATTTAGGTAGATCCTAAAGCAATGTTTACTGTATGCCCAGTAATGCCCTAGAGTGCTTTACCCTATATGCAGGCTTGAGTTAGGTTGCAGCACAACACCTAGTGCAGGCATTGTATTTGGCAACTAACATTACTGCACAATAGAGCAGGAGTGGTCAACTCCGGCCCTCCAGCTGTGCTCTAACTACAAATCCCATAATGCTTCTGGGAGTCATGCCTGTAATTGTCAGCCTTGCAATGCCCCATGGGACTTTTAGTTCCACAAAAGCTAGAGGGCTGGAGTTGTCCACCCCTGCCATAGAGTATCACTGTTAGGACGTCGTCTGGATTATTACCTCTGGCACAGTTCACAACCATGGCATGCATCAGTTGAAGTTTTATCCGTGATCATTCTTATATTCTTGATATGTTAGCTGATATCTGTAAATCATCCTGGGTTTCACAAAACAACGAATTTTAAGGGTAAGCTTGAATTCATCTTTAAAAATAGTTGTTGATTTGGTGTTTGTAATTCTGTAAACTTGTGTGGTAACATACTTTCCAAAAACATTACTAATCTAAATGTGTGAATTTTTTTTTCCAGCGAGTTAATTTAGTAAAAAATACAATTGCTCCATCTTTAATCTGCCAACGTGAGCTACGCACGCTAAAAAAACGCCTACACAAACTTGAAATTGAGTTTCTTAAATTGCAGGTATCACTTCCGGTAAGTCCCGCCAGGAAACTCACAAATATGTACTGTTGTTGTCAGACATACGTTCCTCATTTCTTTCGACTTTAACTATGATGAATATCTCTTTGCGAAAAAAATGTTAAGGACCGTGTGCATTGTTTTTCAAATTGTCAAACAAGGCAGAGGTACCCTATCCATTTTGTATGTTGAAAGATATAGCCTCAAGCTAGCCATACACTTTATCACAAACAGTTCTTGCTGAAGAACAGGTCAAAATTCGCACAGCTGGTGCCGCTGTCAGCACCCATCTGGCCGTCATCCCTTGATCAGAAGATCAAAGGAGACAATTGGATAATCTTTGAACGAATGGTTCAATGAAAGAATAGAAGATTTATGTTGTCCTCTCAAGGGTATCAATTCATTAGGAAGTAATGTAAATGGAGAAAGACTTCCATGGCCAAAAGCTGATCATATTCTTCCTTTATGGGGAAGATACCCAGATAATGTAAATATGCCAATGTATAGGTGTGTGCCTATCACTTGGTTTTACAAAATGTATTATAATATGGGCTTCTAACATTTAAAGGAGAACTATGAGGTGAGTGAAAATCACTCATCCTCATAGTTCGAGCCAACGTGAAACTGTCACACGTCGGGCTCAAATTTTTATCCGATTAGTCGATTAATCGAACTCAATAATCGGCTAACTAATCGATTATGAAAATAATCGTTAGCTGCAGCCCTAGGCTCAATAGATCGGGAAGTGAGCGAACGCATACCGTCACTTGCTCACTTCCTGCAGAGAGCGGTGACTGTCCGCAGGGATCCCCACCCCGCTCCGATCCTCCAGTGCTGACTGGAGGAACAGTTCTGCCTCTAGATAGGCAGAGCCCGCTGTCAATGAGCCAGCTGGGTGGATCTCGACAGCATTGTCGGGATCTGTCCCGCTGCGGCGGTCTCAGTATACCGCGAGCTGTAGTTCGCGATATACTGAGCTTTGGAATATAGAAAGAAACTTGTTGCACTCCTTACCGCATGCTGCAACGACAGGGGAGGGTGCTTGTAGTGACTGCGGATGGCACCACTGGTTACAGATATCAATTGAAGAAATGTCCACAGCATTTGGTGACATTTCTTCAATTGATATTGAGCTTTGTGTCATGGGAGGACGCTAGTACATGTCCTCCAGTGACCCTTAAGAGAACTATGGGGAAAAACACTTACCCCCTAGTTTTCTTTTAAAGCTGAAATCCAGGCTTGCCTTCAGTCTGGTACAGTTGTACAGGCTCCTTTCCTATACTCAAATTGCTTCCCCTGATTTCACTGTACATTTTGAGCCGCTGCAGCAAGTCAGATAGAGCCTGCCTCATTTCCTGCTTGGAGGATGTCCAGCTGTCTTCCCCAGCATTACTGTCCCTTGCCCGCCCCTTTCTTTAATTGGAGTTCAGTTCTTTCAATCAAAGAGGCTCAGCATCACAGGTGGGCATTACCTAGGGTGGTCTGCATGCAAATGCAGTCTGCCTAGGAATGCCCAATCCTCCAGACTAATATCCTCCCATAAATGCATTTTAATATTTGCATAGCTCATTTCAAGCACCAGTCCACTGCTTGCATCAGTTACATTTAGCACCTAGCCTGGCCTTCCCACCAACCATGAACTGCCTCCATTGCATAGAGAAGCAGATAGACCCGGTGATGACGTCACTGGGTCTAAAATAAGGTATGCAATTAAAAAGGAAAATGTTTAATAAAGCCATCTCATTGGCATGTTAATGAGGAGGGAAATGAAGAACCAGGGAAGACAAAATGCATGCAGATTAAATATCACCTTTACCATTTATCATACAAACGTTCTTCTAACATAGTACATGGACTGTTCTTCTTTCTTTACCTTTAAAATAAACCTAGATGAGACATTGGTTATTTCCCAAGTAGCTGCTATCAAATGTTTTGTATTTTCTTCTAGGATAAAGAAACTAATTCATGTGTATCAGGAAATTCCACCTGCAGGAGTTGTCAGCAAGCAACCCCTGCATGCTCCATTAAGGGGTCTAATGTGCAAACAGCAGAAGGATGTACTTTACCTTCTCTACCACCACCAGTACCTCCACCTCCCCCACCACCACCCCCTCCACTGCCAGTTCCTCCTCCTCTGGCCTTTCCATTTCAAAATCGTTTGCCTATACTGAAGAAAGTTGGAAGTAACAGACCACCAAAGGTTAGTTATGGCTATTTGAGTGAAGATAACTTATAACAAATACACTTCAAGGGGAAAAAAATGAAAAGTTAGAATGTGGAGCACACATTAACGTAGTATAGTCTGTAACAAGTAGTATTGTAAGGGATTGGTTCTCCCTCATCCAAGGTTGCTCTGCCCATAACTTGTAGGCTGCCTCAAAAGTTTCTTGTGGCATTATATGTACATCTGTCCCCATTTGGAACAGCCTCAAAACTTCATCTTCAGTTAATATCTTTTTGTTCAGTGATGCATAGAGACAGAGATGTGATGTAGAGCTCTCTGTGGCTTATATTCAATCTGTAACTTTATTAAAATGTATAAATATGTTCTGAATTATGAGATTCTGCACGTTAGCAAAAAGAGTTTGCTGCAACAGACGTATAATTAATCTATCTAGTACATATTGTATGGTATAATAATGTCGCTTTTAGCTTTATGATTATCTTTTTGTACTTTCTACAGGAGGCACCTGCAAAACCAGAAGGGCCCATTCAAATAACACTTAAAGACCTGTTAAATGTTAAATTAAGAAACACAAAAGATAATGATGAAATAAAAAAGGTAAGTTTCCTTATATAAACCTCACACTGGACACAGGACCAGATCTTTATTTTCCACCCTAGAAAGAGTTATTTTTCATGGAAAGGCAGGGGTCATGTAATGTGTTCAGTTCAGATAAAATCATTCTAAGAGATTGTGTTCCTTTTAACCAGCCACTTTCTTTTTATTCTTTACATTGTAAATGTATTTATTAAGAATTGCTGTTTTTTTTAAATGTGTCCTGTTAATTATTTCATCTTATTATTAAATATATATTTTAAGAGGAATGCAGGTATACAAATAAAGCAGTGATCTATATTTCTAATCTAAATCTATAGGAAAACATATTGTAGGTTCTACATTTGCATTTAATTTAAAGTATCTGCATGAAATTGAATCTCCTTCATAAGTACAAAAAAAGTAATAAATATTGCAACGCAAGTATCTGTATTATGTACAGTATATGTAGTATGATAGCAAACAAAGGCAAAGTGATTCGGAGCCTGCCTTTTTTGGGGTTTTTTTTCCCTGAGCATAGACCCACAGTATGTCTATCCCATGCATATTAGAATGTACTTACTGTTGATAGTTACATGTGTTGCAGTTGGCCACTTGCAGCTTAGATGGGGAAAAAAAATAATTTCTCAATATGAAACCTATTAATATGACCCAGTTTTCTTAAGGCCCAGTTTTCTTAGTAATGGTAAGAATGCTCACAGACTGGCAGATCCCTCATCAATAATTATAGTAGATGGGGAATATTCCCCATCTTGTGTCTCTTGCTGCACCACACTGTGAAGAAATAACTCAATTTACTTTGAAGCAAAGAGTACATTATTTCATTATTTCATCCACTCCAATGCTTTTGCAACCCTTTGGTAAATTTCTGCCAAAGACAAGTGCTTTTGACACTTGTTCAAATTCATTTCAAAGCCTATCTCGAGCATACCTTTCTTGGTTTTGCATAGAGTGGGAAAGGCTTTTAACCTCTGACAGGTTTTTATTGTTGACTGTCTCCTCAAACTGTCTCATCATTTATGAAAGTCAAGCTTTATATGGCCTTCCTAAGTGTGCTTAAAAACGTCATTAATATTGCAAGCTATATTGGTAAATTTGTTCCTACTGAAGTGTAGTAATATACTTATATTTTTTTCACATGTCGTCAATATTTTTAGATGGTAGCACACAAATATGAAGGTATGCCACAGATCACTATATCCGCATTAAAAGGTGTAAGTCTGAAGAGTTCTTCTAAGATGCCACCGAGGCGGCTAGCACATGTTTTTAAGTAAGGAGTTTCATTGGAAATATTTACAGAACGCACGCTAGCATTTATATGTAGGTTGTATTTACTCATTATGTTCTTGAATTTTTTCACTGGCCACAGAGATGGACGTAATAAAAGCCCTCTGGACTTGAGACACCGTCTTAGAAAAGTCAATATGGTGAGGTAAGTCTATCACTGTCCTGATGTGTATTTCCAGCCTTCTAAACTTTATTTCTAATCCTCCAGTAAAATAGCAAACAAATTCCACAAATGCTTTCATAAAAATACTAACAAATTCATCCATTTTTATAATTCCTAAGGTTTTGGTCTAAATGGAGATGTTCTTAATGTTTATCTTGTATTTTCTTTTTTAATTTCTGCTTATCCAACAAAATGGCGTTGATGGGCTTGGTAGACCATACCATGTAATAGTAAATTGTTTGTTATTCTCCCCCTACCAAATAAAGGTAATTGCATCCTCGATATTTGGAGGACATTGGTTACAATCAGTGCAGCCAGCTCAAAGTGGTTTGTTTATTTTTTTTTTTTTTTTAAGGGAGCAAAAGCAGCAAGACGGCAATAACAGATAGGCTCACATAATTTTGTTAATACTAAGACATCCCTGCCAGAATCCCCATTTACATCAGAACCTTACAGGAGGCTGACTGTTAGAAACAGCAGTTGAAAAACCTCTCCCGTTGGCTGCTCAATTTGACTTGCTCAGGTGCAGTGCTGCTAACTTCAGTTGTTTTAGTTCAACTTCAGTTGGATTTTCTAGGCTAAGATACACATACGGAAGATCATTAGCTCTTTCCTTTATACAAGAGAGCTAGTTAGTTCAGTAATTTAAAAATTGGAGGAAACCACCCAAAACACAGGGCAATGAACAGCTGTTGGCAGAACATTTTTTGGGAGCAAGTTGCATATATCAGAACCTTGGCCCTTGTGTTTTAAACTGTTTGAAGGTACAACTAATGTCATTCATAGCAAACAAAAAATATTCTCTGAGATAATGAAAGGAAAAAAAATCTTTATGGTTTCTTTTGGCGGTGCTTTGATACAGCTTTCATGAGAAGCATGACTCTAACCTTTTAGTGAAACTAATTCATTTATTTTTTAAGGAGCCCAGGAGGAACCCCAATATATGATAGAGATAACAAGGAGAATGGCACAGGACTGACGCCTTTAATGACAAAAGCTCTAAGGAGAAAATTTCAGGCAAGTGTTTTATATAGGTTTAATGTTTTATATAGGTTTGTTACTTAAAGTCTGTGTATAGCTCAAACTTGTTTAAGTTAAGGGTAGAGTATGGATTTATTAAAACCCCTATTGTGTAACTTTTTTTCTGTCTCTGTGCTGTTGGTGAGATTTTTCTTCCTGGATATGTAACAGGAAATATAGAGTTAATTCCCATCTTAGACAGTTGTCACTGGAACAGCTGTGGCAATTGTTTGTCTGACCCTCACCTCTTACTATGGAAGCATGACTGCTCTAGAGTTCGGGATTTTCCTTACTATCTCTTTTATTGACAGCAATCAACAGGACAAAGGGGTACATTTCCCAACCCAACAGGGACAGCAAAAAGTATCCACCGCTCAAAGCTTGCTTCAGTGATGGATTACAATCTCACGTTTAGTTTATTAATTTGCATCGAGATTGTAGTCCATCACGGGAGCAAGCTTGGAGCGGTGGCTACTTTACAACACACACAGGGACCATGAGGAACAAAAGTAGCCACCCTCCAGAAGGATGGACAGTGTCGGCACCAATTCAGAGATGATTTGAGCATCTACTGCTGAGTGATACACATATAAGCTACATTTTTGTTAATAGTTTAGGTACTTGAATGTATTTTTAAGATTTGACGTGTCCAATAAAAGAACATGTTGGATTATTCTACTGAGTGCTGGTGATTCCTCTTCCTACGTTTTGTCTGCACGGTGCCATCCGTGTTCATCACTACAAGCCCCATTGTCTTCATAGGCCTTGATTGCTGCAAGGTGTGCGGAGGATTTCCCCTTCTATCCAACTTCAAAGTGAAAAACTTTGCCCCAAGTTTATTGTAGATCTTTCCTTAAATGCCTCTTCTCAAAAAATATCTTAAACCTAAATATCTTTATTCTAAAATGAAAATTGTAATTTATAGAAATAATTGAAACCATATTATTTTAGTTTTATTGAATGTTTATAATTCGAAATGTACTATGAACATAATTGTCATTACATGTTTGCTTAGAAGTATTAATTTTTTCTTTTACATAGATGGCTCACCCAAAAAGCCCATCACCACTGCAAATGTCTCCTGGAAACCAAGGTCGTGAAGAAGCATGATAAATTCATATATACAAATATGGTGTGGTTTAAAGAGAGAAGTGTAGGCGCTTCCCTCCTTTTTATAACTGTTTGTATGCCTTTAACTTGGGAATTTTATACAAAGAAACCACTGCAGTTTTTAACTATATATTTTTACTAAGAGAAAAAGCCACTGTTCCTGTTCACTTTTGGTCCCGTTCTGACTTTACTGGTCAGAATAAGCTGTGGATCAATTTGTTTGCCTTATGTTACTGAACAAAAAGCAGTTTACTGTAGATCGCTCATATGACCAAGTACACCACTTTCCTGGAAAGTAACGTTTACACTCCATGCACATCATGGATGCAGTTGTTATTTTTATTAATGATTCTTGCTCTGTCTTGTTCAAACCATTTGTTAGAAGGGATAAACATAAGGTATTAGCGTCTACCATGTTTATTTTTCAGTATTACAAGATGTAAGTAAATGTACTGTCAAATCTGCACACAGAGTTCACTATTCTACTAGAATAAGACTTGCAATGTATTTTACAGATTATTGTGCTGCTTTTAACAAAGGCTGCCTATTATAAATAGAAAAGAAAGTCTGTCAGTTGTGTCATGTGTATAATCTATGATTTTGTGAATAATTTGTTGTCATTTTGTCAAGCGTTCATTGTTTTTATATGTATTTTCTCCATACTGTAATTGTATATGTTGCTGGCTGTTGGCTGTTATGAGTTAAGTGAAAGTCTGCCCCTTTTGGGTGGAGTGAAGGTCTGTTTTTTCCTCTATCTGGTCTTTACTGCTGTCTATAGATCGTCTATAACTTCAATCCTAATATGACTGACAGGGCTTTACTGGGTGCTCTGGTGTGCGTTTTCTGTATATTCCAATAAAGAAATTACTAGGGCGGTGGTGACACCAAAATGCTGGTGTCACTGGCCCTAGTGGATCTTTTATAGGAATATATGCAGAATGCACTCTAGATAAAGGAATCAGGAAATTCATCTCAGATTGCTTACATGGTAGGTATGAATTTAGGCACATCTCTCTAGATCATAGGCAAGAGCAGATATGGGGGAAGGGGGGGTCAACACACATCCAAGTAAAAAAACAATCAGCACACTTCAATTTTTTAATGCTAATTTCTAAATTGTGCTGTGGTAAAATGATTGATTTAAAAAAATACATAACTTTCCCCTATCAAGCATGACTGATCTTGCATAACTAGGTTACAGTAGCTTTCGCTGAGGGTGCTTTTGGCATTTGTGTGGCAGGAACCTACAAATTTCTGCCGCAAGAACCCGAAATATGCCGTTTAGAAACCGCCACTGTCACCCATTTAAAGTTAATGATCACGTGACAGCGGGCGCATCTTCTAAATGGCATATTTGGGATTCCTGCCGCAGGAATCTTTAAACACACCTGCTACATAGGCGTGAAAAAAACCTTATAATACGGTTAAGAAATCATACCCTCACAACATTCAGAGACAAAGATCAATCTATGGGAGGTGTCTGAGATTCAGGCATAAGGAAGCAGTGAGTTGGTGGTCACAAGATTGTCCACAGTGAGATATACATGCACAATCGCACTGGCCAAGTATGCATTTTGATGCCACCATGATCGGTCACGCAAATATATATTAGTTAGTCCAGGAGTTTCTAACTATTATGAACAAGGTTGGGTAACAGTCATATTATGTCAAATGCTGACAGTTTACTGATCCTTTTGATTCGGACAAAATAAGAGGTGATTATGTATTCTAATATGTTTGGGTACATTTAGCTTAGCAGTGTTACTGCATACAGAGGGATGTCGTCACTCTCAAGCCACAACTTTGATAGTTGATAATACCTTAAATGGCCTTAGGAATTAGTTTTGCACAGGGTGCTATTCCATTGACTAGGCAAATCAGGCAATTGCCTGTTCATCTGTCCTAACGGTTTCCGATTACCCCCAGCCCTCTGGTATTTCAGCCTAGTCAACTGATCTTTTATTCACTTACAAGGAGCTACATTATACTTTTGGAATATTATATTACACCAGCAGGATTTCTCATTGGACCTGGGCACACGGGTGTTTACTGGTGAGACAAGAATAAAAAATATATGTATTTATGGTGTATGGTCTATTGAAGACAAGATTATCGTATATTTTCAGAAATGTGTTGGGTTTTGCTTTGATCATTAAAAAGAAAAAATGTGTATGTGAAAGGATCACAACTCTAGAGTCTTGAAGAACTATACACTTAAAAAAGAATTATTCTCCACTATAGAGACACATTTTTCTAAAAAATTTGTCACACAAGATTTTAAGGTTTGGGACTATTATAGCATGTTTCCTATTGTTTTATGTTTATGTAAGCTGAGTCCAAAGACTATTTTGGGTACCTTCATATTAATTACCTTCTTTTGTTACTAAATTATTAAACTATAGGCTGTATGTTCTGGTTGTTTATATAAAAAGCAAGTGTGTGTGTATCTATAGTTAGTTATTAGATTTTTTAATATATGCAAAATTTTTTTTTTGTTGGTAACGTGCACTAAAAAAAAAGGACATTTTGTCCTATTTTACCAAAACTGGATGCAGAAACACAGTCTGTGTTACACAAAGCCATCAGAGGGCAGGCTCGAAAAAGAAAAATTTTATTGAACTGCTGTGGAAAATGAAACTATTTGCCTTTTTCTCCTGCAGCTCCAAAGTGCCAGCATGCTACAGACCAAAGTATTTTAATATTTGTTTGTGTTTTAGCTGTTTACTCAATTGATTAAAAAAAAATATCAATGCTATGTGCTTTTTCTTTTTATCTGTTATATGTGTAATTACTGTAAAGTTTACCACTGACTTTCTCTCATGGCTTACGTTTTATATTAAAATCCTGTCTTAAAAAATGATTTATTGTTTTGGACAATGCTTTAATGCATTCTGTATTAATTTCAAGAAAAGTATTTGTTTTCCAAGATAAGAGGGGTGATCGTAAATCTCAAGATAATGTTCACAAGTGGTGTAAACAAAATGGCATATTTATAAAGGATTTGAAGGTATAGTCCATTAAACATTTGCTGTACTTATATTCCCTAACCCTTGCCAATATCTGATTTTAGCAGGAAAAAAAATGGTTGCTGCAATGTTACCCTCTTTACAAGGGTTACTGTCGCCTTCCCTGCACAATCGCTGGACATACACTATATTGCCAAAAGTATTGGGACACCCCTCCAAATCATTGGATTCAGGTGTTCCAATCACCTCCATTGCTACAGGTGTATAAAATCAAGCAACTAGGCATGCAGACTGCTTCTACAAACGTGTGAAAGAATGGGTCGCTCTCAGGAGCTCAGTGAATTCAAGCGTGGGACCGTGATAGGTTACCACCTGTGCAATAATTCCATCCATTAAATTTCCTTGCTACTAAATATTCCACGGTCACCTGTTAGTGGTATTATAACAAAGTGGAAGCAACTGGGAACCACAGCAACTCAGCCAAGAAGTGGTAGGCCACCTAAAATGACAGAGCAGGGTCAGCGTATGCTGAAGCGCACAGTGCGCAGGAGTCGCCAACTGCAGAGTCAATAGCTACAGACCTCCAAACTTCGTGTGGCCTTCAGAGTGGCACAACAACAGTGCGTAGAGAGCTTCATGGAATGGGTTTCCATGGCCGAGAAGCTGCATCCAAGCCTTACATCACCAAGTGCAATGCAAAGCGTCGGATGCAGTGGTGTAAAGCACGCCGGCACTGGACTCTAGCAAAGTGGAGACATGTTCTCTGGAGTGACGAATCACACTTCTCTGTCTGGCAATCCGATGGCCGTGTCTGGGTTTGGCGGTTGCCAGGAGAACGGTACTTGCCTGACTGCACTGTGCCAAGTGTAAAGTTTGGTGGAGGGGGATTATGGTGTGGGGTTGTTTTTCAGGGGTTGGGCTTGGCCCCTTAGTTCCAGTGAAGGGAACACTTAAGGCATCAGCACACCAAGACATTTTGGACAATTTCATGAACCCAACTTTGTGGAAACAGTTTGGGGATGGTCCCTTCCTGTTTCAACATGACTGAACAACAGTGCACAAAGCAAGGTCAATAAAGACACGGATGAGTGAGTTTGGGGTGGAGGAACTTGACTGGCCTGCACAGAGTCCTGACCTCAACCCGATAGAACACCTTTGGGATGAATTAGAGTGGAGACTGCGAGCCAGGCCTTCTCATACAACATCAGTACCTGACCTCACAAATACACTTCTGGAAGAATGGTCAAACATTCCCATAGACACACTCCTAAACCTTGTGGACAGCCTTCCCAGAAGAGTTGAAGCAGTGTGTTTTATCATTTGAATTGTGTATTTTTATCGGTTTAATATTAATTTGAGAAACATTTGCGCAATTATCGCACGGCCTACAAATTTAGTATCACCTTATTTTTATTCTACCGGGCCTGCGCTTTCAGAAAATATATGGTTTGGGGGGTCTTTTACAAACGCTAGTAACGCAGCAGTTGAAAATCAAATCAATAGGAAAAAATTGCAGAAAATTCAAAAATGGCTTGGCCAGCTGATTTGAAAAATGTTCCGGAGGGCTTGGCAGCGAAAGGGTTAAAGTTCATGTGCGCGTAAAGGCAGACGTCCCAATACTTTTGGCAATATAGTGTATTTTAAAGAAGAACTCCAGCTACATAAAAATAATATCCCATTAAAAGATACTTTATCAGGGGGCACAAATGTCCCCCTCCACCTTATATGCCAACATTGGCATTATTCCCAAGTCCACATAGAGAGTTCATGAACCTCATTGATTTCATTCCAATTACCCTGCTCAACATCTATTTGAAATTGTTAGCCAAGATTCTGGCTATTAGGATCTTCAATTTCTTAGGACCCTTGTACACAGGGATCATATAGGTTTTTGTTCATAACACTCTTGTGTTTAGATATATACAAGGCTTTTGATTCCCTTTCCTGGAATTACCTTCAATATACTCTATGGACCTGGGGATTTGATGTTGGCATGGGCCTCTGCCATGTACACCTCACCCTCTGCCACAGTTTGTTACGCT